ACGCGCGGCACGACACACTCCCGCCTGCCGCCGCCGGCAATTACGGAACGGCACGTCAGGTGCCGCCCGCCGAACAACAACATCACATCACCTCCGGCACGTCCGTGCACGCCCAGCACGTCCAGCACGTCCGCTTGCGCAACCCATCCATCTACAGTCCACGTCGCGTGTGCTCGGCCGCCGCGAAAACCGTCCCGATGTCGCCGACATCCTCTCTCTCATACACCGCGCATCTACCGCGCGAGCAAATCAACTTTGCCCCGTCCGAGCAAATCAACTTTGCCCGTCCGAGCAAACTCAAACTCCAAAGCATCTCTTTACCACGTACACTACCTAACGCATCCATTATTAGCACTAGTTAGCATTCAATTGCACTCCACACAACTTAGGCTACCCTCGTTTTTTTTGTTTCCGCCACGCCGCACCAAAATCCTCTGCTGCACGCGACTCCTACTCGTGCACCTCGCCACCCTCGCATTATTGCCCAGATGCATCCCCCGGCCGGATGCTCTTTTTGCAAAACGGGCATATCTTGTTCACCGCCAACCACCGGTCCACGCACTCCGTATGAAATACATGAAAACAAGGAAGCGTCTTCACTTGCTCCCCGTCCTCGTATTCGCCCAAGCAAATCGCGCATTTCTCCACCTCCTCCCGACTGCTCGAGCTCGACGACCCCCCGCCTGCGCTACTCGCACTACCTCCGCTCCTGCCTCCCTTCGACCTGCCCTCGCGCTGTCTCCGCTTCATCCGCACCCGCTCAAGAAGCCTCTTGTCAAACCTTTCCGACGGCAGCCGCCCAATCTCCGTCTCGGACGCCCCGCGGTTCACGTGCCCCACCCTGTCAATAAACTGCAACCAGTCCTCGTACTGCTGCGGCTGCGCGTTCCCGCCGCCGCCGCCGCCGCCTGTAATCGATTGAAAAAACTCCCGCAGCCCCACCTCCACCCCGCCGCGCATCCCTGTCTCATTAAACGGCGCGGCCAGGTCTGAAAACACCACGTTCAACATCTCCCCGATATCGCGAAACGAGTTGCCATTCTCATCACCGCGGTGGTGCACGTGGTGAAAGTGCGTCTCCTCGGGCTGCGGATACCTCTGCGGCTGCGTATACCCCTGCGGCTGCGGGTACCTCGGCACGCCTCTCCCCCTCCCGCGCGCCTCCGCCTGTCTCTGCGCGTGGGGCGCGCCTCGATCCGAGTGTCGTCGCTGCGGCTGCCGGTCGTCCTGTCTGTCGCGGGAGCGTCCGCCGTTGGCCTGCACGTCCAAGCGAGAGAAGCCCTGCGGCGTGACGACGAATCCGCGCGCGCGCGACGCGCCGCCCTGCGCGAAGCCGCCCATGGTGGCGTCGAGCAGCGACTCGACGAGGCGCTCGGGGCCTGCGGCGAGCGGGCTCCTTGCGCGGGCGTGGTGGTGGC